ATTTTCAGTTGGCTATTTTATGGCTTTTAGGAGCTTTTTATATAAGCTCTTTATAAATTTATTTAAATTGTTGAAATTTCAAAAATATCCTTATTCTATTTTATAAATTCGAATTTAATATTATTTTTATATATTAAAACATTTTTTAGTAAATTCTTATGAAAACGGCTAACAATTTTTTATAAAAGCTATACTTTAATAAAAGTGATTCAAATAATCTGGCACTAATATGCTTTAAAAATAATAATATTATATGTACAAACTCCTGGCACAAATTTATTCATATAAACTAATGTATTTTAATGATATTTGGTGATTTTAAATTAGAGATAATATAAATAAGTTAGAATAGGTGATGTATTATATATAAAGAGGATTATTACATCAATTTGTAAAAAAATAATTTGTATAAGTAATATTAATCAATAAAAATTACCTCATAATTTTAATATAATAATTTGTAATTGGATAGATGAGGCATATTTATAAATGAATTAATTTCGAATTATAAAATTATGAAAAAAGTTTACGAGATTAAATTATAAACGTGGTAGTAACCCTATTACTGGCTGTCAAAATTATATTTGGTGGGCTACGGAATAGCGTTCTAAAGTAGTAAATGTGACAAGGGTTAGATGATCGCATAATCAGGCTTTACTTATTACAACTTTTTAAAACTTTTGGTACCAAAAACAGTACTGTAATTCTTGAAACGGGACCCATAATAATCCGTTATTATCTGAACAAAGCAGGAGTCTTGTCAGCAGTAATCATCAGACAGTTTCCACGTATAAGATACCACATGGCAATACTCACACGAACAATTTTCTGTCTGAATGCCCATACACAAGATCTGGCCGTACACTGAGCCAAGCACCAGTCTAATCACCATCAGACGGCATAGAAAACCGTGATACACATCAGCCGTTGAATTGCATCTCAAAGTCTAAGATCAGGGACCGTCAAAAAACAGTTTGTGGGGTCAAACACAGAGCTTTGCTTTTGCCTTCTGGCATCCACTTTCTTTGAATGACTTGGCGTTGGCCCAATATCATTTAAAATCTAGCAAAATGCCATTTCACAAACAGGATAGATTCTCTGTGAGTCTGATTAACCCCAATTCCTCTGTCCTCTCACCATTTTCGTTTCTTCTTTTACTCAAATGCCCAGAGTCTTATGCAAATATGACTTTGAGGTGTGAACGTGTGCATCATCAGTGTACGTTTGTACCTCAAGATTTTCCAGAATACTTCTTCCTTGTTGCAATATAATAATGTTCATATTAATAATAATTTAAAATTATGTTATTTTCCTATCCTCTACACAAACACCGTTCATTTATTTAAACGAAAAGCCAAGTGCCAGAAGAATTTGTGGTTCTGGAAAGCTCAGAAAACAGGTTGTTTTAAGGGAAAAGAATGATAGCTTTATTTTCTTGATTCTTGAATTAGCTATAGATAAATAAAATAGAATCCCATATAATTATTTATTTCTGGTCTTCTTCAATTCCAATTCCAAGAAATCTGCAGATTTTCTGCTTCGTTTAGATTCAAACCCGTGAAATGGGGCTTTGATTCTTCTTTATAAACTTTTATCAGTTACTGCAGAAAAGTTGTCTGTTACAGAAAGAGAATACACCAAAAGAGAAGAAGAAAATGCATAGAGAAAACAATTCACAATTGGATCAAATTTGAGAGTGAATAAATACAATTCGGTTTACTAAAATTCGTACAACATAATAAGACTGCATTTCAAATATTCAAACCTTCTTTACAACACAACAAAATACAGATCCATCAAAGCAAAAATGGTGCTTTTCAATATAAAATTATTGAATCATCGACACATACCATCCTCTAAATTCCCAGTACCTAAAAATAATAATTTCGGCTGCTTTTGTAGCCAAATTCAATCACGGTGTTATAAAAAAAAAAAAACAAACAAAAAAAAAAAAAAAAAAAAACTTCAGAAAAAAAAAAAAAAAAAAAATTCAGCAAAAACAAAATAATTAAAATTTCATACCAATACATACAACAATCCTATACAACACAGAGCAGCAACAATGCAGCTACTCCTTTGTCCCAACACATCAACTCCTGATCTATCATCCTCGCGAAAGCCAGGTGGCGAAGACAAATGAGAAGAGGGGCCACCGAATCCCGGCGAATTATCAGGCGATGGTGAAACATCCGGCGACTGAGCACTCCCTATCACTTCATTACCAGGCTTCCCTGGAACCGCAGATTCTTTACCAAAAAACTCCCTTGGCAATAACACTTTTGATACTCCAAAAATCGCCAGTGGCTTCTGATCAATAACTGTTTGCGTCACGGACGCTTGAACAAGCCCAGTGTCAATAGCAACCGAACCGTTCACTCTCGAAATATTTAAAGTAAATCTACCTGCTCCCATGTCCTCCGTGGCTAATGTCGGCTGAACTGGGTTCACAATCGACTCCAGTGAACCTAACGGATAATACGAATGCAAGACGTGAAATTTCAAGACTACAGCTTTTTTATCAGCTGGAAGAGATTGAAGCTTCTCATTATTAGGTAGATCTGCAAATGCGATATCAGTTGGAACAAATAGAGTTATTCCAGCACCGCCTTCGTCGGCCTCGAATTCTTCGACTACCCCGGACGCCGACAGCATCGACGCCGCGACATTAAAATTGTGGCCGTCAATTAAGGCCTTGGTGATGTTTAATCCTAGCGGAGGAAGAGTCTCGGACGCCATGAGATCGAATCCGTAGGGGATGATGAGAGAGTTGACGGATAAGATTGTGATGTTATAAGGTAGGGTTTTGACGAGGAATAAAACGGTGGCGTTCGAGGGCGAGTAAGGGGCCGGTGAGTGAAGTGTTATTGTCTTGGTTGTGGGGTTACGGCTTATGTTTACTGACCCGAAATTGGAGGATGCCCGACCCGTCGTTTGAAAAAGCGTAGTGACGAGAATTCCGGACGGAGAGATCTGCTGGAGGTCGGACCAGGAGAAGAATTGGAGGAGTATGTGGTAACGGAGGAGGTCGGCGAGTGCGGAAAGGGAGAGGCGGCGCGTGAGGTCCACCGAGGACGGGGAAGTTAAGTAGGAGTTAGGTACGGTGAGGAGAGTGAGGGAGGAGCGGTGGGAAAGGTCAGAGGCTACGGCGGAGTTGGAGAGAAGTGCGGAAAATGCGGATAGATTTGGATAAGGAGAGAGTAGTTCTGTAATGTTTAGAGCTGAAATAGAGGGAGTGGTGAAGAGGAGTAAATAGGTTATAATAGTAGGGGTAAAATGGGAAATGTAAAGATTGAAAGCCATGGATGCTGTGGAGTGTGTGTCTCTCTCTCTAATTGCAGAGAGTGAGTAAGTGAGTGGTGTTTGTAGCAGAGTGTGTGAAGGGATTGAGTAAGAGAGCGTGATGATGGAGGGTCAAAATGATTCTAGTGATGGTGATGTTGATGCATTAAATTTGTTTATTATTATTATTATTAAAATTCTTTGTCCACTTGCGTTGGAGGGCGAGTGACTTCACTCGCTGTTACTTTGCGTGCATCTACTAACTACTATATATATTTTTGTCTTAGCAAAGACACAGTCTCGTGTCTTGTTGTATAAGTGTGTTAGATACTAGATATAAATAGATTATTAAATTTAAGAAAATTTTCTAAAAATGGAATCAAATTATGAACGTGTGTTGTATTAATTTACAGCATACACCTCGCATGGGGAAGAGAAGAATGTTAAGTGTGTGTTTGTTTTATTAGTTGGGATAAGATTTTTCAGAAAGTTGGTGTTTCTTATGAGGTAGAATTTGAAAATTAATAAAAACATTCTGATAGGTATGTTAATTTACTAAACACCCATACAGTAAAACATTAAAAATGAACAAAAGCAATCCTACATATCCATTAAATATCGACAGTCATCACCACTGTCGGATGGTGGTCGATCATCGTCATAATAGCGCATAACCTACTGGATCTAGTTGATCGTGCATTGATATGATATTTTTTGGCTTGATCCATCGTGGATCTGATCATAAAAGGTTAGATCTACAGTCAGATCTAACTGTTGACGATTAGATCTAGTCACGTTTGATTGTCAACGGTGGCCAAAGATATGACCGTTGTTAACGACTAGCGACGATCAAAGATCTAATAGAAGATTTAGCCTTTTTCGACTAGATCCACGATGGATCTGACAAAAAAATGTTATATCGATACATTATTGGCTAAATCCAGTCGATAGTATACCATTATGTCAGATTTCAACCACCTTCCAATGGTGATGATTGAAATATGGAAAATATAGGTGGATGAGGGTGTTTGTTAATTTTTAAACTTTTTTCTTTTGAGGGTGTTTAGTTTAATTAACAAAACTAAAGAGTTTAAAATAATTAAATAAAATAGAATTGAATTTTTAGAATAAGAAAACAAATATATATTTTGATAGAATATTTATAAGATAAGATAGAAATAATGAATAAAACTGAATATTCTCGTCACTATTTGATATCGTGTTCAACCATATTTTATTTATCGATAATATAAATGGTACTTCGTGTTGCTTGTTTAACTTCGTTAGATTATTGGATAATGGTAATTATCAACGGTGGAAAGATTAGTCTGATATAGCCAGAGTTTAGTATCAGAAATTTAATTATTTATTATTTCAAAGCGTTGAAAATTTTCGACAAAACATCATCAATTTAATGTAATATTAATAATACAGTATAGTTGAATCTTTTAAACGACATAGATAAGACAAGATCTCTTTTATTAGGGTTGCTGTTTAATTACTAATTAATGACATATGATTAAAATAATTCTCTTATTAAAAACCATTAATCATAAATACAAAAAACTAAAATCTGATTCGATGCATTAAAAATCTAGTGGGTACTTTAGGCAACAAGTGTTAATGAGGGAAGTTGGTTCCTTCAATTAATGAGGATGAAAATAGGAGAGGGGTATTACCGTAATATTATACGTGGTCCTAATAAAAAAAAAAAAATTCAGCAAAAACAAAATAATTAAAATTTCATACCAATACATACAACAATCCTATACAACACAGAGCAGCAACAATGCAGCTACTCCTTTGTCCCAACACATCAACTCCTGATCTATCATCCTCGCGAAAGCCAGGTGGCGAAGACAAATGAGAAGAGGGGCCACCGAATCCCGGCGAATTATCAGGCGATGGTGAAACATCCGGCGACTGAGCACTCCCTATCACTTCATTACCAGGCTTCCCTGGAACCGCAGATTCTTTACCAAAAAACTCCCTTGGCAATAACACTTTTGATACTCCAAAAATCGCCAGTGGCTTCTGATCAATAACTGTTTGCGTCACGGACGCTTGAACAAGCCCAGTGTCAATAGCAACCGAACCGTTCACTCTCGAAATATTTAAAGTAAATCTACCTGCTCCCATGTCCTCCGTGGCTAATGTCGGCTGAACTGGGTTCACAATCGACTCCAGTGAACCTAACGGATAATACGAATGCAAGACGTGAAATTTCAAGACTACAGCTTTTTTATCAGCTGGAAGAGATTGAAGCTTCTCATTATTAGGTAGATCTGCAAATGCGATATCAGTTGGAACAAATAGAGTTATTCCAGCACCGCCTTCGTCGGCCTCGAATTCTTCGACTACCCCGGACGCCGACAGCATCGACGCCGCGACATTAAAATTGTGGCCGTCAATTAAGGCCTTGGTGATGTTTAATCCTAGCGGAGGAAGAGTCTCGGACGCCATGAGATCGAATCCGTAGGGGATGATGAGAGAGTTGACGGATAAGATTGTGATGTTATAAGGTAGGGTTTTGACGAGGAATAAAACGGTGGCGTTCGAGGGCGAGTAAGGGGCCGGTGAGTGAAGTGTTATTGTCTTGGTTGTGGGGTTACGGCTTATGTTTACTGACCCGAAATTGGAGGATGCCCGACCCGTCGTTTGAAAAAGCGTAGTGACGAGAATTCCGGACGGAGAGATCTGCTGGAGGTCGGACCAGGAGAAGAATTGGAGGAGTATGTGGTAACGGAGGAGGTCGGCGAGTGCGGAAAGGGAGAGGCGGCGCGTGAGGTCCACCGAGGACGGGGAAGTTAAGTAGGAGTTAGGTACGGTGAGGAGAGTGAGGGAGGAGCGGTGGGAAAGGTCAGAGGCTACGGCGGAGTTGGAGAGAAGTGCGGAAAATGCGGATAGATTTGGATAAGGAGAGAGTAGTTCTGTAATGTTTAGAGCTGAAATAGAGGGAGTTGTGAAGAGGAGTAAATAGGTTATAATAGTAGGGGTAAAATGGGAAATGTAAAGATTGAAAGCCATGGATGCTGTGGAGTGTGTGTGTCTCTCTCTCTAATTGCAGAGAGTGAGTGAGTGGTGTTTGTAGCAGAGTGTGTGAAGGGATTGAGTAAGAGAGCGTGATGATGGAGGGTCAAAATGATTATGGTGATGGTGATGTTGATGCATTAAATTTGTTTATTACTATTATTATTAAAATTCTTTGTCCACTTGCGTTGGAGGGCGAGTGACTTCACTCGCTGTTACTTTGCGTGCATCCACTAACTACTACATATATTTTTGTCTTAGCAAAAAGCCAGAGTCTCGTGTTCTGTAACTCTGTTGTATAAGTGTGTTAGATAGTAGATATAAATAGATTATTAAATTTAAGAAATTTTTCTAAAAATGGAATCAAATTATGAACATGTGTTGTATTAATTTACAGCATACACCTCGCATGGGGAAGAGAATGATGTTCGTGTGTGTTTGTTTTATTATTTGGGATGTGATTTTTTAAAAAGTTTGTTGCGTTATTACGAGGTAGAATTTGAAAATTAATAAAAATATTTTCATAAATTTATTAATTTACTAAACACTCTTACAATAAAACATTAAAAATTAATAAAAACATCCCTACACACCCATTAAATACTGACAGCCGATCACCACTGTCGGAAGATGATCGGTAATCATCGTAATAGTACACGACCTGCTAGATCTGGCCAGTCGTGCATTGATATGACATTTTTCGGCTAGATCCATTTGGGATCTAATCAGAAAAGGTCAAATCTACAGTCAGATTTGACTGTTGACGACTAGATTTGAGCACGTTTAATCGTCAACGTTGGCCAAAGATATGGCCGTTGTTGACGACTAGTTACAGCCAAAGATCTGACCGTAGATCTAGCATTTTTCGGCTATATTAACGCACTACTGGTAAGATCCAGCCGATAGTATGCTATTACGTCATATTTCAGTCACTTTCCGATAATGATAGTTGGAATCTGATAAATGTAGGTGGATGGGGGTGTTTGTTAATTTCTAAACTTTTTTCTTTTGAGGGTGTTTAGTTAAATTAATAAATCTAGATAGTTTAAAATAATTAAATAAAATAGAATTGTAATAGGAAAACAAATATGTATTTTAGTAAAATAGGGATAAATTATGGTAAAAATAATGAAACAAACTTAATATTCTCATCACTATTTGATATTGTGTTAAATACTTCGTGTTCAACCATATTTTATTTATCGATAATATAAATGGTATTTCGTGTTGCTTGTTTAACTTCGTTAGATTATTGGACAATGGTAATTATCAACGGTATAAAGATCAGTCTGATATAGCTAGAGTTTGGTATCAGAAATTTCGAAGCGTTGAAAATTTTCGACAAAATATCATCAATTTAAACGACATAGATAAGACAAGACCTCTTTGATTAGGGTTGCTGTTTAATTACTAATTAATGACATATGATTAAAATAATTCTCTTATTAAAAACCATTAATCATAAATACAAAAAATAAAATCTGATTCGAGGCATTAAAAATCTAGTGGGTACTTACTACTTAGGCAATAAGCGTTAATGAGGGAAGTTGGCTCCTTCAATTAATGAAGATGAAAATAGGAGAGGGGTATTACCGTAATATTATACGTGGTACGATATTTTTACATCCGTGTTTTTAAGTAGCGGGCCGGTGACTACTGAGTACTGACAAAATCCACCGTCTAACAGCGGAGCGCCTTTATTGCCTTGCCTTCCTACTTTAAAATAATAAGAAAGATGAAGCTTATGTACGGTCGTAAAGCTTCGTGATCAGTGATGACGCACTGTTAATCTGTTTTTATCTGCCTACGTGTCACGCATCTGCATGGGCTGTCATTTTTCTAATCTTTATTTTCTAACCTTTGCAGTGTCACCATAAAGAAGAGCACTTACGCGACACACAGGTACCAATAATTGGGCTTTTTTTTATGGTTCTGAGAAATTTTTTTAAATCGAAATTAAATTAAATTAACAACTTTAATAGAATCCAAATAAAATAAGTGGTTAGATTAATTCAGTATGATGAAGTTGGAGAAAAAATCTCATCTTAATTTATATAAGAATTAATATAGATTTAGTAAAGATATATTTAGAATATAGTTAGTTTTATAAGTAAACTATTCCTTCTTTCTTAAAAGAAAACTCTTAGCATACACTTTAATTTATATTTTTAAAAGCATTCTAAAATACTTTTACAATTTTCAAAAAAACTTTTATATCTATCAATCAACAGTATAAAATTGTGTTTGAAAAGTCTTGAAAGTAATTTTATTGTATTATTAGTCAAACTAAAAATGCTTTTCATACTATGTTTAAGTAAAAGTGATTCTTGAACCATCCATAGCAAAAAGAGGTTCCATAAGCTTCAAAATTTGAGTCTCTACCACACTAATAGGATGGTCACTGAAACTCTTATCCGATCAACAGTTTTAGAGTCTCAAGAAATTAGTTGAGGTGTATATAAATTTGTCTGAACACTTTTCAGGATAATTAAAAAAAAAGTGCTTCCTGTATAATAATAATAATAGCAATGCTATAGTTACCGAAGAATGCACACCGAATAACGTGACGTCATCATATTTTCTTAAAAAAAGAAATTCATAATTAATCAACGATCAGGATGGCGTCACATCATTCGATGCATAAATTCGATGCCTATGATTTTGTAACTATATTATTTTTCATAATAATATTCCTCAAACCCAAACAACAGAAGCATTTTTTAACAACATGCATTACTGCTGTGTGGTTCTGTTGAGAGACATATAATGCCAAACTCTTTGTTGGAGTCACCCTCACCCTCACCCTCCGCCACCATCTTATGGGCCTCTCAGCTTTCTAGAAATGTTAAAAGAGGATGCAGTGTTGGAAGGTCCATGAACCCATAGGTGGGCTTTCAGGCTCAATTCGGAACCTGGTACTTGTGGTTTGACATTGGCCCAACCGTTGGACGTGAAGTATGCAGATTTTATGATGTTTTATTTGTTTGAACTTTCAACGTACAAATTCATTGATGAAACACGTTAATACCTTGATAAGTTCCATTAATCTAGAAACTTAAGACTATGGAGATTTTGTCAACTTTTCAAGGTATCTGAGAATCAGTAAGCTGATTGGTTGATTCTGATTGTGGGCCAATTGAATGAACAAATACAATATTACAGTCAATTTCACATTCAATTGGTAAGGCATAGAGAGAGTTGAAAATCTGAGTCATTTTCGTGGTCAAATTCGCATAACATTGGCATCCCTAAGTGGACCAGTCACGATGTATCATAAGAATATTATTATATATTGCTTAAGATTTAGGATTAAAATGAAAAGGAATTATTCAACGATGTAATCTAAATAATACGTATTTACCGGATGATATATAAATATAGATAACGCCACCATAACAACAAAAGTACAAGACAAATATAATGTTGAAATATCGCTTTCTTTGAATATAGTATTATTCAACCATACAATAAACATATGTATTTTTAGTTCGACTTGCTCAAGTTAAATTATTAATACGCAACTACATAGTATACAGTATACACAACCCTTTAACTGCCTCCTTTGGTCCCTCAAGTTTAGCCGGTCCATGTCCCCACATCACATCATCTCACAACACGACCTAACCACCTTCAATCTCCTTCTCTTTGTCTAATCTTTGTTGGCTATAAAAAATATTTATTTTGGTGAAGACTTCATATTGATAACTCCTTTTATCTTGGTATAATAAGCTTGTTGTGTTGTGTGTGGAGCTAGAAATGGGGTTGGTGAGCTGCACCAAGTGTGAGTTTTAACTGCTAGAATGGTTTGGTCATCTAAACTTGCCATATAGTTTACTTCATAGACTTAGACTTGTCTTGTAGCTTAAATTGGACCAGTCCTAGAGAAAAGCTAGCAAACAGAGAGAGAGTGGACCAGGTGTGGCAGGTAAAGCAAGGCCGCCGAAATACTTTGGTCGTTAGCCCTCTTCTTTTCCCTGGTCATCTTGCTATATAACAAAACTGACTTCAACTTTCTTCTTGTACGTTACATGGTTATTACAAGTTTCTGTGTTCATACATATGAAATATGAAATGATTTTTCCCCACTCTGATGCTCTCTCATGCATATAGAGGTAAGCTTTTTCTTTCTCACCAGGTTTGTTTTGTAACCTTTGTCTAGTTTCTGAACATAAGGCTTGAGAACGTTTTCTGCTGCTTTGTTGTTTATTAATTTCATTGCTAAAAGAAACGCAAAAGAAGCTGCTTTTAGTTTTATGCTATATAACATGGTAAGTTGAAAAGGGTGAAACGTGAAATGAATTGTTGATGTTTTAAAACGATAAATATATTTAATTGTTTGCTGACGAGATTGGATGTATTGAATTTCTGATATTGATCTTCTTCATGTCATCTTTGCCTGATTCACCTATATGAATACTGGTTCTTTGATTGCTGTTTGTACATGTTTTTAAGTAGGACTCTTTTGTTAAAGAACCTGACCTCTGTTGGTAAATTAATGAAGTTGAGAGGAATTTCAATCTTAATAAAAGGAAACTACATGCAGATGTTTATTTTACCTTGTTGATAGAAACTGTTTAGCCTCTTGTCTCCTATCATGGTAAAAAATCATCTCCAAGTATATGGTAGTTTTTGTTTCTTGGGATGCTGGAATTTCCATAACTTGACATGCTCACCTTGCTTTTTCCATCTTCTATGCATGGTGTTTGATGCTTGTTCTAAATAAAGATAGAGATTTCAAAGTCAGCTCTCCCTTTTTCGTGTAATTTGGAAAACAGTAACTGAATTCATAATCTGTTTGGCGATTGAGATATTTGATATTTCACCTAGCTTCCCGTGTTGTTTACCCTGTTTTACTTTTGTTCTGTTCAGGATTGAGAAGATATTGGCCCTAGAGGTTGAAATCAATTGTTGTTGGGTAAATTTTTGTCTGTCAAATATGGGAAGGCAGTTGCATCGTGAGCACTCTGGCCTTCAATTTGAGAGCTACCATCCAGGCTGCCTATGGAGCATACTGCATATTCTTGATAATCATCAATGGAGAAATGTCAAAAGGATAATTCCAAATAAGAAGCACCTTAGAGGAAGAAAAGCCATATGTAAGCAACTCTATTTGCTTCAGCCTGTTTCCATTTGTTCCTTAAATAATGATATCTGGATTATAATAATGTTCTCTTCGCATCTAAATTTACATTTACCTAGAACTAACAGGATATACTCAACGTTTAGATGAAATTTCTGAATACTATAGTCGAAGGTCTCCAGGTCTCTTGTTAATGACTGTTGTCTAATTATTGAAATCTGTTTCTGCACAGTGAATTTTTGTAATAGTATTATTGGAAAGGAAAATGTTTTTATGTTTGTGTTGGACGTCATATTATATAGTCCAATTAATATGACCTTTCCATCAATGATTGAAATCTGTTTCTGCACAGTGACCTTTCCATCAATGATTGAAATCTGTTTCTGCACAGTGACCTTTCCATCAAGGTCAATTTATGGTCTGCTTTGGAGATTGTTTTGCTTGCATAATAACTGCAACTGCAGCACAAAGTAAATTATTGCTTTTGCAGAGACTCTTTCAGATCTCCTGGTTTTCTGGAGATTATGTAAGACCAAGTTGACTGCCAGATGCCATTCATTTCCCCTAGATAAAAGGAATTGTTCTACATCTAGGCAAGGCAGAGGGAACCTTATGCAGGAGGAGGATAGAATTTCTGCTTGGCAGTTGATCTCAATATTTGTATGTTATGCTTAATTTCTTATTACTCATTGTAGGCTTCGGAAATCCAAAGACAATATCCCTGGAACGTGAAAGTGGTGAAGCGCAAAATTTTCTGGATGCTGATAACTTTATAGTGAGTTTATATTACGCATTTAATTCACCTTTAATTTTATCATGGGATTTGAGTTGTTTCTTCTGCATACAACAATACATCATCTGAAAGTAAATTTGACATTATCAGGTCGAACAGGATACTACCACAAATTCAATTGAAAAACATTCAGGCATAGCCAGCATTAAAGCATTAATCAGTGAAGAGATGTCCAAGGAGGAGAACCAGAAGCAGTTGATTTTGGGCTTCCCTGCACAATCAAAGTTGCAGCGAACATATTCAATCCATCATTTAGATCCTTCAGACTTTCGCCCTGGTAAAATAAGCGATGACTGGACAAATCCAATTATCGTCCTTCATAAAGATGAAAAGACTTCGTCCACTAGATCTCGGGTTTCATCTCTGAAAAAGAGAACGAGGAAAATAATTGCAAGAAATAAAAAGCGTGATGTGGGTGATAGTGTGAATGTTGAGGACAGCTTGGGACAATACCAGCTTTCTGGAAAGCAGGACAAAGTAATGGAAAACTCAAAAATTCAGAAGCAGATAGGTACTAAGCAGCTCAGTCGAGAAATTCTGCATCACCAGATTAAGGAATATGTGGATGTTCTTGAGATATTCAAGGTAAACAAGGAGGAATTCCTCAAACTCCTGAAGGAACCTGATATTGGTGTCTCAGAGAATTTCCCTGGCCAGCAGATTTCCAATAGAAACGTAAAATTAACCAAATCAGGATCATTTCCGGTAGCTGATTCATCTCGTATTAGATATCTTAGACCCAGTACACTTGAACACAAGCAGAATGAAACTTGGGCCTTCCCAAAAGGAGAAATGCCGGTACGCAGTACTGAAGTACCTAATCCTGATTCAGCGAGGTCTCAAGAAGGTTATAATTCAAAGACAGTGCCCTCATTAGGGGATGATAATGTGGGAAGTGCCATTAAACAAAAAGCTAATAATTGTTCTCAGGGTTCATCCCAGGTATCTATTCATCAGCCTTGGAATAAGTTGGTTAAAGGTCACTTCAGAGGTATAAAGCGGAGACTAAGGCATGCTATTAAAGAGAAACAAAAGGAGAATGACCACTCAAAGACTGATGGAAAACAGATGCCTACAGGTTCGGAAAACATAAGTGTGGGCGATGATGGTACAGACAGCTCCAGAATGTATCATGAGAGGGATGGTTCTGATCATGATCTTAGTAAAAGCAGAAGAAGACACATGAGAAGAACAACCTCTCTAAATGAGTCCCTGGAAAAATATGCTCGGTTGTTCGAGTCTAGTTCCAGCAGAGGAGCGAAGTTACCTCACTCTAACAGCTTAAAGTTGAGAAATGAAGATAAGACTTCTTCGAGCGAGCACACTCCAAAATTTTTCAAAAGGATTTCCTCCCTGTCTGATCTTGAGTCATTTTCATCCTTATTGAATGAGTTGGCTAATGAATCAGAGATGCCAGTTAGCACTGAAGTGGATTGCAATACAAACACTGAAAGTGATAATCGTGATGAAACGAAGTCAAGTGGCCTTCCTGTTGCTACAGATAAGCTGGAACCATTAGATGCTATTGTAGAGACTCAATTTCAAAAGAGTACTGAACAAGGAAGTGACAGCAATGTGGGTATTGAACATTCAGGTGGCTTAATGGTGGATAAAATTGGTGAAGAAATTTCTATGACAGGTGAATTTGGTGAGAATACCATCGATGCTTTAAATGTTGGTAGCATCCCTCCGCAAGATCAGGAGATTGATTCCACAATGAATCCTAGTGTATGCCTTGATCAACCAAGTCCAGATCCGGTGACTGAAACTTGTTTTCCAGACAATATACTAGACCCTGCAGAAGTTCCAATTTCAGAAGGTACCACAACTAAATTATGAAAACTGCATTTCTTTTTCTTTTCTTTGTTTTTTCATTTTTTCTTGCTGAAATGCAATGTCCTTTAATAAATAGATTAGCGGTAAATATTTCTTATGACTTGATGAGATGGAATAGCATCAAAAGCTTTAGTTAAAAAATGTTTGAGGCCTGAATATCTTTGTTTTCCATTTAGTTGAGCGAGGCAATCTATTAATTTGGTTAAATTCTAACAGGTTCAGAGTTGAATCCCGTGCACATTCATATCCATGAGGCAGATTCTTCTTTCAACCTTGAAAATAGGTCCAATGCAGATTCTTTATTAGGCTTGTGCGACAGAGTGAACACTGATGAGGACAATCACTTTCTGCATTTCGAATTGGGTAACAACGACGCTTCCTTCAATTATGTGAGAGAAGTTCTTCATCTGTCAGGATTCATCGGAAACGAATGCCTAGGAACTTGGTACTCACTAGACCAGCCATTGAATCCTTCAGTGTTCAAGGAATTGGAAGAATACTTGCACCATGAATTACAATACTCTCCTGAGGAGATTGGAGGAAACTGTGAGCACCAGCTTCTGTTTCATTTAATTAACGAGGTACTACTTGAGCTATATGAGAGATCATTCACCTACTTCCCACGAGCCTTCTCCTTCAATAGCCACATTCGTCCAATGCCAAAGGGGAACCGTGTTCTTGATGAGGTCTGGTCAAGAATTTGCCGGTACCTCAGCTTTAGGACAAACCTGGACCAGTCCTTGGATGACATTGTGGCTCAAGATTTGGCAAAGGGTGATGGTTGGTTGACTCAACAATTTGAAACAGAATGTGTGGTTCTTGAGCTAGAAGATTTGATATGCGATGAACTCTTTGATGAACTTATTTACTCATGAGAGAGTTGAGTTGAGGCCACACAGTCATGCTCATGTTCTCTGTAGGAAAACTTTGTATATAAAATTTTGTTACGCTTTGATTGTACATACTTAATAGGGAGGAAAGAAATTCTTATATAGGAATTCATGTAGTTGTGCTCTGTAAAAGGTTGGAACTTGGATGAGTTCTGTTATTTGTGAAAACCTTAGAGATTATACCTGCGTGTAGGTTCAAATTCAGTATAATAAAGATTTTACTTTGTTGTGATTAAATTCCTGGAGTATGTAAGTGAAGCTTTTTCCTGATTCAGTTTGCAGATTCTTCATTGTATGACAGAATTTATGGAAGATGAAGTGAGGATATAAAGCTGCTAAGATCTTGTAAAATAATTTTTTACAATAAGTTAAACTTGCTGTATTACTGTAACTGTGAAATATTTTACGGTTATGCTCTTAATTAATGCTGTAAATTTAATTACATGATCATGACATTTCTAAGGCGGTTGCCATACATCAGTAAATAACAGGCTTACCAGTTTCAACTGGCCCACCTGTAGTCCATGTCGAAGTGGCCTAATTTGACAATGTATTGTCGCACAAAAGAGGGAAAAAAGAGGTCGTCTAAAACCTTTGTTAAACCTCTGCTCTTCCGTTAAACGGCTATGGCTCACCACCAGCGCTGCCAACGGTAATCCTAACAGTGTCGGAAACTTCAAACTCCATATTTGACGGTAAACTGCTGAATTGCTTTCTTTTCTTGCTCTATATATATATATATATTTTTTTTTTTTTTTATGGGAACAAATTCTGTATTTCTGTTCGACTATTCGACATTTAGACTCGGGCTATTCTTGTCTTAAGCTGCCGCATCTGATCTGGGTATTCTTAGTTTTATCATTCTTGATGAACTATGGGAGCTTAGCAACTTGTTAATCGAATAAAAAAGCTGTAGAAAATTGCGTTTTGTGATCTTGATTTTCTCTGGTGGTTCTCTATTAACATTTAAAATCGACTTTATAAAAATATATTTTTTTCTATTCAAATGCTAAGCTTTGATCAAGCGTATCTTGGGGAGAAGATTTGAGCTCACTTGATGTGTTGCAACAGCTCGATGAAATGTCTCAAAGAAGCTTAAGTCTCAGTTATTTACTTATTTATTTTTTACAGGACCATTCAAGTTCGATGAATCATTAAATGTTTAGAACGTTCAGAGTTTGAGATACGGTATAGCAATTCAGCGACAAATGTTGTGGTTACAACGTGGAAAATCACTTTGGAACCTAGAACCCATTAGACGATCTTCAAAACCACCATGGCTTTCGGTGATGTTCCTTCCTTACTCAGATGCTCCTTACAAGAAGGCTAAGGCTGCTCCTTTACAGGTTTCACACTCAAATTCATATGCCTTATGGACGTTGATTGTAGGTTTACGTTTCTTTTTATTGGGATATTTGGACTGTCTTTGCAGGAAACCAGAATGAGGGACAAATTTACGCTGTATTGCAAAGGAGGTGATGGTGGCAGCGGTTGTTCTAGCTTCCGCCGTAGCCGGCATGATCGCCGTGGTACACCTGATGGTGCGTTCTCTATAATAGCTTTATGCTAATAACCATCCTTCTATTAAGCAGTGAGTCATATTTTTACAGTTAAAGAGTGATTTAGTGAATTGCTGCTTTTTTTTCCCCAATCTATCTTTGATTTTAATGTAGGTGGGAATGGTGGAAGAGGTGGTGATGTGATTCTAGAATGTTCTCCTTCAGTTTGGGACTTCAGCGGTTTGCAAAATCATGTTGTATGTTACTTTTTTTTTTTTTTTTTTTCCTGAACAATGTAGTAGCTTGATGGTCTGACATTGAACTGCGTGATACTTATGGTTCGCCACAGAAAGCGGATAGAGGAGGGCATGGAACTGCAAAGAATATGATAGGAAGCCGAGGAAAAGACAAGGTTATTCAATGCTGTTTTGTTTAATTACTTGCAGGATTGAGTTATTGTTAGTATTGTATGGTCCTTTAACTAAAATGATTATGCAGTGGCTCATTGAGTGATTATTTCACCTGATAGGTTGTCCTGGTGCCAGTTGGCACTGTAATTCATCTTATCGAGGGTGAAATTCCAACTGTGATTGAAAACTGTTCAGAAACAAATTTGGATCCCTGGGACCTTCCTGGTACCCTTGATAGTAATCTGTCTGAATCTGATCAGCATTCTGTCATTAAGAATACAACTGTGCCAGAGGAAGTCAAGTCTGTGTGCAGTACCGGTGATTCATCACCTCATAAAGAGATAAAGTTAGAGGCATTAGCAAGCCTGCAGCACACCACTCAAGTTGAGAGGGAAGATGAAGAACAAATACAATATAATGTTGCAGAATTAACCAAGCAAGGTCAGCAAATCATCATTGCTTGTGGAGGAGAGGGTGGTTTGGGTAATGTGTGTTGTCCAAGTGTTTCAAAGAAACCTAAGGTTACAAATTCTGGGGTCCTTGGGGATGGTGTATTGGTTCATGAAGTATCCGATGATGATAAATCCTCCCTCAGTACTGGTTTGCCTGGTTCAGAGGCTGTTGTTGTACTTGAACTCAAAAGCATTGCTGATGTGGGCTTTGTGGGGATGCCAAATGCTGGCAAAAGTACTCTTCTAGGGGCTATATCGAGGGCTAGGCCTACAGTGGGCCATTATGCCTTCACAACTCTAAGGCCTAATTTAGGGAATCTTAATTTTGATGACTTATCGATTACAGTGGCTGACATTCCCGGAATCATAAGCGGTGCCCATCAGAATCGTGGACTTGGACATGCTTTTCTACGGCATATAGAACGCACAAAGGTTCTGGCTTATGTGGTAGACTTGGCTTCTGGGTTAGATGGTAGAAAGGGAATTCCACCATGGGAGCAGCTTAGAGATTTAATTTTAGAGCTTGAGTACCATCAGGAGGGCTTATCTGATCGGCCGTCCTTAGTAGTAGCAAATAAAATTGATGAAGCAGGTACTGAGAAAGTTTACGAAGAACTGAAAAGAAGAGTGCAGGGTGTTCCTATGTATCCAGTGTGTGCTGTCTTGGAGGAAGGAGTTTCAGAGGTGAAAGATGGTCTTAGGATGCTTGTGAATGGTGAAAAATTAGAGAGACTCAGTTTAGAAAAAATATTATTACAATAATAATGCTTGGCACCGAGATGAAAACTTAGGTTGATGTTTCAGTTTCTAATAACATTTGGGTTATTTTCAGAATGAATATGATATGTAAATTAATATCATTTTTCAGCTGTGACATATTGTAACGTTGAGTTACTGATGAGTTTTTGAATCTGCTTTTGGTACTTCTCTTTTACCTTCGTTCCTTCTAGTGTTGTCTGGTCGAGAATCTATTTATCCTGCAATTGCAGAAAGAGTTATAGGCATGCGAAAGCATCAGAATTGGTTGGATGACTAGGCTCTACAAATGCCTTCGAATTCTGAACTTAATAATCTGAGCAGAGCAAAAACAAATACAACGTTTTGTGAGTGATAATGTTAACAAAGCTTACCCATTAATTGATTAAAGATAATATCACTTAAAAAAATTTAAAACTAAAGCACATTCCACAATCAAGGGACAGAGGCCATTTAAGGCCCACAACATGAGAAAGCATATCGGCTGTAAGGCGCCGGTCTTCCCCGCTATCAAATCATGCGTCTTTTTATGCTTAAAAAAATGCAGAACGGAACAAATTTATGTGGGATTGTACAGGGAAGATGCACCACTTCTCAAATCAACTCCCCTATAAATAAGGGTGAAGGTCTTTGCTTAAGAACTCGCCCCAGACAGAACTCAAATTCCAGTTTAGTCTTTTCAATCTATTAAACAAAATGTCTTGCTGTGGTGGAAATTGTGGCTGTGGCTCTGCCTCTGCCTGCAAGTGCGGCGGTAGCTGCAACGGGTATAAATTCGTTTTCACTTTCTCTAGTCGAGCCAATATTTGTGAATTTAGTTTTAAGAAATTTGTTCATATGTAACCAAAAGACTTTAAGAAAGAAATAATATCATCAAAATTTTACGTCTTTGGTTATAGTATATGCTTTTAAAACACGATTGTGATAATTCTTTCTCCCATGCATGCAGATGCGGCAAGTACCCTGACTTGGGTTTCTCAGAGAAGACAACCACCGAGACCATTATTGTTGGTGTTGCTTCTGTGAAGATGTATGTAACCACTAACGCACATCATGATATTCATGCAAACATGCATTAATTGAAAAAAAGTTTTGAACTTTGATTTTCCTATGATAATGATCTTAAATTGACTCGTATTGTAGGCACTTGGAGGGATCTGAAATGAGCTTTGGAGCCGAGAATGGTGGCTGCAGTTGTGCAAATAACGCCTGCAAATGTGGAAATAGCTGCAGCTGCAACCCATGCACATGTTAATGATAAAACATTGACATGACCGAAAGAAACCAAAAGCATGCAGCAATGGTCTATTTTTAATAAGAAGAAATATAATAAGTTTACTACAAATAAGAGAGCTTTGTCTACTTCAAGTGCTTTCCTGGATTAGTTGTAGCTACCTGGCCCTTCTCTGTAACCACTACTTTCTTATCTTATCCATGTATGTCCGGAAGATTAATATATCTCTTTCTATCATTTAACTCCTTTGATGTGTTTACTTAACATTCATTTGGTCATAATGAAACGTTGGCTGTAAAAATCTCCATCTCACAAACCTAAATGACTCTACATAATACAGCAGAATACAAAATTCTGATAATTCATATTAAGTTAAAAAAAAAAAAATTAGGTCATACTATCACAACTCTCTATTGAATATTATAGATTTATCGTCCCACTTGGAAATCCTTTTCTTCTTTGACAAATAGAACGTAGAAATCACAATGGTTAGATTATTGTTGCTGACTGTTAGGGCCAAAAATCATCTTGGGCTTGACGAGACCCAATAACGAAATAAACATGTCACGGTCCAAGGCTTCAACCCAATCCCGATTGGGTCTACACTTAAAATCACCTTGCGACCTACCTACTCTATGAGTTGGGTTATCCTATAAGTTAAGCTAAACTGTGTTTCAACCCATTAGCCTGCAACAATCTATAAATAGGAAATTAAAATCCCATTTTATTTTCTCTTCTACTAAGATTTCAAATCTTACTCAAACTAATAAACTTGATCTGATAAGGTCAAGAAATCATATCTCTTTCATGATAGGGATTATCTCCCAAAATAGGACTTAGTGTCCTACTAAGATTCCAAATCTTGTTTAAATTATTAAACTTAATCTGATAAGGTCAAGAAATCATATCTCTTTCATGATAGGGATTATCTCCCAAAATAGGACTTAGTGTCCTACTAAGATTCCAAATCTTATTTAAACTATTAAACTTAATTTGATAAGGTCAAAAAATCATATTTCTTTCTTGATAGGGATTATCTCCTAAAAAAGAGGACTCAATGTCCTACTAGGATTCTAACCCCTTGGGTTCACTATAAAAACAGAGGCTTGCCCTCTCATTAGGGGGGCAATCTCCCATAGTCAATCTACACTACTCAAAACCATCTATTTGCTCCTAAAGTTCTTGCTCCCAAGAACCCGTCGCCTCCGCCGTAGTCCTAGTTTTTGACAAGACTCCTGGTAATTCTTCATCTCCTTAATTCTTATCAAATAATCTCTTTCAACCTTGCTGACTTGAGCGTCGGAGTGCCTACAGCAAACACCATCCTAGTGTTTTTTGGAAGCTTCACGCTTGCCCTTTCGTGTGTGCAGGTCTAGCGGATTGTCAGTGACCTCAACCTTACGGGATCAGACCATATTTTCATGACGGTAGATTTTTTGCATCTACACTAACCTAATTAATTAGTTTCTGGATTAGATGGCGGAAAGCCAATGCCACCATGGAAACAGGCAAACAGCTCAGAGATTTAACTTTAGAACTAGAGTACCCTCTGGATTCTGGAGGATTCATCTGATTGACCATTAATAGTTTGCAAATAAAATTGATGAAGCAGGGACCTAATAAGATTAAAAAGACAAGTTCAAGCTTGGTGTTATCAAATATACTGAGACAATGCTCATGTGTATTCCTTCAACACCATCCAAATCAATAAAGCTAAAGCTTGGCTTAGAGAGCTGGAAATCAACTGGGTTGTTTCTGTTCCACATAGCAGTAAGGTCATTCTGTCAGATTTAATTTGATGTGAAATCACTAAGCAGTAGGGTCATTTTTCAACTTTGCAATATCCATTTGATAAGGACTGCCAGTGAGTTTTCCAAAAGAAAATCATACATATCCTGCATTACTTGTCTAGATATTTTCCTTTTCTTTTTCACATGGGTTAAATTTATGCAGATACATGAATTCCAGTTTATCACAGATGTGAAATTAATGATTATGTAAGGTTATAGTGCTACTGATCATAAAATAAGTTTGGCAGCCGTCCAAGTTGAAAATGTTTTTGAAATCACTATGACAATTTGTTCTGGTGTTGATGCATATATTTACCAATTAGAATGAGACAACTCCATGCATGCATTTTCCAGAGCTCATACATGTTGAGGTCCACAAAGGCATTATCAGTGCTTGAGGTTTCCCCAGCTTGCACTTTGAATGATCGAGCTTTCTTCTCTCAAAACAAAGCCAATCATCTACATATTGGATTTGAAATGACTTTAGGACTCTCCTGTTCAAACCCACCTTTAATATTTCAAATCAAATCATGTCACTATATTACAATATCTACTAATATTCGAAAAGATAATACCATAATCCAGTTATAAATAATAAAGGAAAAAGAGTTCTACTTTACCATTAAAACAAAAGAGAAAGGAAAAGAAAAGTTATGGAGAATAACAAGCACGTAATGAGTAAAGCAAATTCCACCATCAAGGAACAGAAGCTATTCAAGGCCCACATATATAAGAAAACAAATTTCACTTTAGCAATACTGATCAGTGATCAGAGGTCTGCCTTCCCATCAATCATGTTAACTTAAATATTGGCAGGACCAGGAACAATGACAATTGACGATGGAGCTCATACAGAATCTTCTTCATATCATTTTCCTACACAAAACCGAAAACAACAGCTAAAGAAAAAGAGTTTATATGTTTGGAAAAGAAAGGAGGCAATGAAAGTTGAGTGCATGTTCTTATCATAAACACCACTCTTTTCCACCAAAAGTGCATCAAGGAATTTCTACTTTGATAAGAGTATATATATATATACTCTTATCAAGATGTCCTGATATTTTCTTTGATCAAAATATAGAATTTGGGTTGCTAGATTTTTTTGAGTGGTTGAGATTCATTCCCGTTAAAATTAGTTACTATACAAATTCATGGGAGAGAGAAAAATGAAAGAGAAGGTAGAGGAAGTTAAAATTTGGTACAACTGTAAAATTAAGTGTCTTTTTAATTTGAATAAATCTCAACCGTGAACAAAATCTAAGGTCTCAAATTTAAGGTCCTAATGATAAAAATTAGGGGTTTTAATTGAAATAATCATATTTTGGGAGGTTTCTAGTAAATAACCAAAAATTCAAATCCTATACCCATATAACCACTCTGTTATGCCTAAAAATATAAGGGCTGACGTAAGATCCAGTCAGCATGCAAAAGTCAGATCATGGGAACGCCTGCAGCCTGCTTCTGTTAGAATAGTGGGCGCGCGCCAGGCCAGTCAAGAGCTATGACGATCCCACGTGTCCAATCCCTACTCCAAATCACGCAAATCACTAAAGAAGGTGGGCAATGTGACATAAAGAAGGTTTTTGCGCGGATAATCTCACCAACCCACAAATTCAATGATGATTGCCTCAATCAATTCCTCTATAAATTGAGAGCGTCTCTCTCATTGAGGGGGATTCGCATAGTTTACATCTGATTAGCTACTCTCTCTCTAGAATTTTTCAGCATTTGATACCTTGTATTACCATTGTAAAGTCAGTCAGTCAAAGCGACCTGACCCTTATCATCAATATAAGCATCAGTGGACGTAGGACTTGCTACCTTAGCATCCGAACCACTTTAAAAACTGTCCCCATTGCATTTACTGTCATTTTCTTTTACATTCACGTGTGTCTTTTGGGCCAGCTCAACATTTCACACGTGCATTTTGTTGGTGTAAAAATCACGCATCAACAGTTTGGCGCTAGAAGGAGGGCCTGATTTAGTGTTCATCCTTCATCAAGAGAATCTCCAGCTTATTGGTCCTACAACAACAAATGACCCGCCAACCAGAACCTGAGCAAACCAACCAGGGCGCTGAGCAGCTCCCCCAACTTCAAGGGGACACTTCTTCCAAAAAACCTTCAGCCCCGCAAAATGCTGCAGGAGATATCCCATCAAGTTCACAGCTTGACCCTGCTATAAGAAGCTACCTGGAGAGGTTTGACAATACTCTCCAGACGGTCAACCGAAGGTTGGACCGTTTGGACCAAGACGTGCCATCCAAGTCAGCTGCGACGGTGCAGCCGCCAAAAACGCCTGCAGGTCGCGTGAAAGCATGGCAAAGGGAAATAGCCGGTGCCGCGAGCATTGTAGCGCATAGACGAAAGGGTAAGTAGGTGGCAAAAAACAAGCCCACGGGCTCCAAAGGGCCAGCAAACACCGACCGCGTCCCAAGCAGAATACCAGTCTCATTGAGACTCAGTGAAAAGACGTAGCCTGAGCTGTCTCATGCCACGTCGCAAGTACACACCCATAAAAGTGCTAGACAGGGCGATTCTTATCACCGCCAGCAAAACGATCCTGATCATCACTGTGCGAGAGGGTCCTACACTTCGCGGGGCGGTTCTTACCACCGCGAAGGTCGTGAAAATACCCCGCACCTTTCGTTGCCATCACACGCCTCTAGCTAGCGTGTGTCAAGAGTGGCCAGAACTACCGACCGAGGCGAAGAGGAACCCGACCTCTGGACTTTCCTCAACCGCAATTGCGAGGGTCGGACTCGCATGGGTGAAAGCAATTCCCAAGCAGCTCCATTGCCGCAAATTGAAGAGTTGCAGCAAGCTCTAGACAGACTAAGAGCTCAACAAAATGAACAGGGGCAGGTCGCATCTGTGTCCCCCTTCTCTCCCGAAGCATTAGTCGCTCCACTCCCACTGGGATTCAGGATACCCGACATGCGGGTGTTTGATGGAAATTTCGATCCGCATGATCATTTATATGAGTTTAACGACCTGATGAAACTTTACCAGGTCTCAGATTTAGCAAAATATCGTTATTTGGTAGTGACTTTGACCTCCCATGCCAAACGGTGGTTCAGGTCGCTCCCAGCGGGATCAATCAGTTTGTGGCCTCAGATGAGCGCGACGTTCGTAAGACATTTTCAAGCAAATCGGAAGTTCTCAATGCCTTTGAGCTACCACAGCAATATAAGGCAAGAAAGGGATGAATCCCTCCAGTCCTAAATTGATCGTTTCCATAGAGAACTTAACAAGGTGGCTCATACTCCCGAAGAGTCTGTTCGGACTCTCATCATATCTGAAGTTCGTCCACAAACCGACCTGTGGAAAGAATTACAGGCTGAGGACAATGTTTCCCTCACAGGATTCTACAAACTTGCGAAGAAGTACCTCCGGATAGAAAATTCATTGGCGGCACTCTGCCGTCGTGGCCTCGGCTCTTCGGGCAGTGCG